ACTTCAACATGTTGTCATCTCGGGCTGGAACAATGCCAAAGCAGTACAAACATGCTATGAAGGTGTTAGAACCAGGGCAGGGGCCCCACTTAGGAGCCACTTACTGGGGATGTGACTCACTTAACTTCTCTGAGCCTGTTTTCCCAATTTATATCACCCTACCTACCTTGATTGTTATCATAATCATCAAATTAAATAATATATGTGGAATTAATATGAGAAAATGAAAACAAAGTCTTTATAAATAGGGAGGGGCAGAGGGGTTGAAGGGAGGGCAGGAGAATGGGGAAAAAATAAGAACCAAGATAGAGTATGTAAAGGTGCAAATTCTCAATGATGAATGTCATTATATTGTAAACCTAAAATGTACTGATATAATTAATAATATAAAAAATAATATATGTGGAAATTCTTTACAGAATTTTACATCCATAGAAATACAAAGTTCTTAAGACACCATAAAGATGGTTAGAAATTGAAGAGAAAGAAGGAAGAAGAGAGGAGAGAGAAAAGGAGGAAGAAGCTGCTGTCATCAGGGTAGACTGATGAAGTGACTGGACTTAATTAAAAGTTTCCTAGGATGTGGCAGCAAATTTCCAAAAATGATCTCCCAGTGAGCCTCTCCCACTGGTGTTATTCCTTCATTTTGACCTTGGGCTGGCCTTGTGATTCATTCTACACCAAAAGAATGCAGTGGAAATGATTCTGTGTGATTTTTAAATGCTGTGTAGCTTTAGCCTGGGCCCTGTGGAATGCTCACTTTAAGACAAGCCAGCTGTTATACGAGTTCCACATATGTTGAGATGCCATGCTGTAAGGAAGCCCAAGCTCTCCAGGCAGAGAGGCCATGGGGCAGGTGGAGCTGTTGAGCCAGCTCATTTTTTTTCCAGCTATTCCACACAAGAGATCTCAAGTAGGAAGGCCCAGCTAAGCACAGCCAACCTTAGAATATAAAAGGTAACAACTTGTTTTAAGCTGCTAAATTTTAGAGTGATTTGTTGTGCAGCAAGTGATAACTGGAATATAGGATGATTTTGATTTTTCATTTTCATGGAAGGCTTGTTGAGTTAATGAATGTAGAGTTTCATAAAACATCTAGGATAAAGTCACAGATTCATATCAGAATTGATTTCAGATGATTTGCAGCCTCCTGTCAAAAGCATATTGTTTCAAGAAAGGTATGTCAAGGGGGTACTAGGAAGAAATGACTGGTGAATGAATACCAGAATAGAAAGTGGGAAAAAGCCAGGCATGGTAGTACATTCTGTAATTGCAGTACTCTGGGAGGCTGAGGCAGGAGGATCACCAAGTTGGAGCCAAGCCTGGGCAATTTAGCAACTTAGGGAGACCGTGTCTCAAAATACAAAAGAAAAAAGGGCTGGAAACATCTATTCCCAGTATAGGGGTGGTGGTGGGGGATTTCCAATTTCAGTCTTTATTTTTGTTACTCATAAAGGATTCCTATGGACCCCATGCACAAGGGAATTGAATACACACACACTCACATATGAAATTATACACAGGGATTTATGGGACAGTTTACAGGATCAGAGGTGGGGTAGTCCACAGTGGCTATCTGCGTGCTAGAGAGCCAGATCATCCAGTAGCTGCTCAGGCTAAGAAACTGGAACGGATCAAGAATGCAGCGCCAGTCCAAATCTGAAGGCTTAGAAGCTCCCTGGAGAGTTGCTGGTGTGAGTCTGAAATGAGAAGCTGAAGAAACTGGAATCTGATGTCCAGTCCACAGGTGATGGCAATATCAAAAGACATGGAAAGAATGGAGCTTTCCACATGTAGACTGACCTCCTTTCCCTTTCATTCCATCTGGGCTGTAGGCCTATTGGATGGTATGATCCCCAATGGGTGGATCTTCTCCCCTCAGTTTGTTGTTCTATATACCAATCATCTCTGGAAATCCTCAGATACACCTAGATGTGTGCTCTACCAATCTTCCAGGTGTTTCTTAATCTACACAAACTGCTGATCAGGATGAACAGTCACAAAGGGACCAGCTAAATTACTCAGGCTGGCCTCAAAATTGTGGTCCTCCAACCAGCCTAGTAGCTGGAATTAGAAGTGTGCACATTACTGTCAGCTTCTTTGTGGTTTAATCTATGGGCAATCTGAACTATCTCATTAGCTATCTTTTTTGTTATAGTCAGATTTATTGAGATATAATTTATATATAATAAGATTCATATCTTTTTAGGTATTCAGAACTATGAGCTCTTATAAAGTGGGAAAAATCTTATAGTCACCACCAGAATCAGGAGACAATATTTCAGTATGCCCCAAAAGTTTCCTCACTGTCAATCTCCTCCTTTCATCCCCATCCCCTCTAATACCAATCTCATTTCTGTTCCCATAGCTCCATTATATGTAAGAATCATACAGGGTGTGGTTTCCTCAGGTTCATCTCCTGTTACTTAGCATAATACCTTTGAGAGCATCCAGGTTGTTCCAAATTAGTACTTTTAATACCATCCCCTCCCTTCCTCTCTTCCTCCTTCCCTTCCCTTCCCTTCCTTTCCTTCCTTGCCCTGCTCTGCCCTGCCCTGCCCTCCTTCTCTCTTTTCCACCCTAGGCCTTCTACATGCTAGGCAAGCACACTACCACTGAGCTACACTTCCAGCCTTCAATTTTTCTTTATATTTATCCTAAGGCTATACAGAGTTGTGAATAGCTAAACAAGACAATAAGCCAAGACTGTAGTTGTAAAAGCTTTATCCAAGGACCACCTGCCTCAAACTCAGCCTGGGTGCTTGTTAGATTCTCAGATTCAGGTCTAATAAGTTAACGTGTCTAAACTTCTTGGTAGTATGTGTTAACACATACCTCTCTCCCCGACATTTATGCATGACTAAAGTCAAAGACCTTCAAGGATTCCAGGATGAACAACAATAGCAGAGTTAGAACTGGGTGTGGTAGCACACTTCTATAATCCCAGCTAGGGAAGCTGAGGCAGGAGAATCATGATTTCCAGGCCAGCCTAGACTACATAGTAAGACCCTGCCGCAAACAAACAAGGAATATTAGAGTTAGATGGTCCTGAGTCTGAATGAAGCTATACCATTTAGATGTATTAAAGATGTATTTAGATGTATTAAATTGGGCAAATTATTTCCTTTCTCTGCATAAATTTTTATACTTGGAAATAGTGTATTCACCTGAGCATCTATCATATGCTAGGTGTAGTTCTAGAAACTAGGATTATAGCAGCACATAAGACAAAGGCCAGGCCTTCATAGAGCACATATTTGTTAGGGCAAGACAGATAGTAAGCAATTACTGTTTGAGGCAATTCAGAAAGTAATAAACTCTGTAGAAAATTAAGCAAGGTTTCAGTATAGAAGGAACCTATGTTAAGGCACAGTCTAGGCTATTTGTTACAAAGTGACTCCAAGTACAATTAAACAATGTATTTTGCACACCTTTTGTAAACTGTCTGGAGTGGGGTGCAAACACAGATGGCTCTGTCATACATAGATGACCTCTGGGATCTTTCATTGGTCTCTAAGTGCTTCAGCTCCTAGCAACTTGTCTGTTTTCCAATAGGAAGAAGGAAGACAAAAGTTTGTGTGGAATGTGTGCCCATTTTTGAAGGGCATATTGCTTCTGTTCACACTTTATTGATTAGAACCTTGGTCAGTGGCACACCTGTCTCTGAGAGAGGCTGGGAAATGTAGTCTCTACCACTGTGGCCATGTGTTCAACTAAAACTCCAGAGGAAGAAGAACATGGATATGGGGGGATAGCAGCAGTCTCTCCCAGAGTGTGACTGAATGGGGCAGGATACCTTTTTAACCAGGCTAATGAAAGAAGCCCTTTTAGAACATGTTAACTGATTCTAGAATCACACTTTTTTTTTTTTTTTCAAAAAGTTTGTTTTAGAGTTGGTGGTGGTGGTGCATAACTGTAATCCCAGAAACTAGGGAGGCCAAGCCAGAAAGATGACAAGTTTGAGTCCAGCCTGGGTGATTTAGTGAGACCCTGTCTCAAAGTAAAAAGGGGAGGGATATAGCTCAGTAGTAGAGCATCAAGAGTTCAATCTCCAGTACCACAATAAATACAGTTTTGGTTTTTTCAAAATAAAAGGAAGTGAACATCCCTATGTGCTCTGCGCATAGCATTCATTCACAATGTATTATTATGGTTAGTGGCTCTTAGATCTGCTCTGCACTTTCAGCATCAAAGAAATTCACTTCCCAACCTTGGTGCTTTTGGGGGAGCACAAGGAAAAATGTTGATTGCAACGTTAGGTTGCCAGTATGCAATTCTGGGCTGGTGGTTCAGTTAGCCGGGTTACTTGCCAGGTTTGCTCTCACGCAGGCTCCGGCTGGGGAAGCCCCGTATCTTCTGGGCCACCGTTCACTGCCTCCACGAAGGGAGGGGAAAAGCCACGTCTTTCTCTTGCATCTTTTTTATCTTTAAGGCCATTTTTGAGGTATGTCTCATGTTCTGACGCTCTATCAAGATTAGAGATTGCCGGGCTGGGGATTTACCTCAGTGGCGCCACCGCCTGCCTCGCAAGAGCAAGGTCCCTAGTTCGATCCCTGGTACAAAAAAAAAAAAAAAAAAAAGAGAGAGAGAGACTGCCTCTCTCTATTGTAATTATCCTGCTCTGATAATCGTGCTGATTTTTCAGGCAGCATGCCCAATGGTAAAATTTTAAAACCTCTTTGGTGGCCACTAATCGTCTTGAGAATATTATGAACGTTGTGGATCCTCCCGTCCCCCAAACAATAAGATCAGTTCACTGCCCCCTTTTACAGGTCCCATCGGCAGGTGTTGTTTTGTTTTGTTGTTTTAAAATCACTAATGTCTCCCTCCGCTCGCGCTTGCCCCGTCCGGTTCCGCCTCACCCAGCGCCTCCTAGCAGAACTCAGACGCCGACTCCACCAGTTCTGGAACTAGCGGGCTTGGCCGGATGCCGATGAGCTCGGAACACAGTTACCGACCTCTTGTTGCCCACCGGAATGGAAGGGGAGGAACGCGCCTGTCCCGGAAACGGAAAATAAAAAAGGGGACGTGTTTGTCAGAGGGACGCGTGGAAGGGGTCGCGCTTAGTTTTTCAGCGATGTTCCCGAGAGTCTCGGCGCTTCTACCTCTTCGGCCCCTGTCCCGAGTCCCTTTGCCCCGTGGAAGCCCAGAGGCGTCCGAGGCTGCAATTTTGCCACTTGCTGCTCCTCGCGGAACGGTCAGGTACACATTTTAGAGCTGTTGGCCTCGCAGGTGTTCGTGCAACTCCATCCCCTCCTCCTGTCATTGAGTTACCGTTCTCCGTTTCTCTTGGGTCGATGTTATAACCTGAAAAATCTTAGAAGCCTTTGCTTTAAATCTAAGGAGAGAAATCTTAGAAAGATAAAGTGGCATGCCCAAGGTCAGACAGAGTGCATGGGAAACAGCCACAAGGACAAGTCTGGTCTGTCTTGAGCTGCTTCTGCGGCGTGCCACATCTCATCCCGCACTTTTCGCTCTTATTCCAACTCCAGAAATGAAGTGGGGTTTTTGCCTCCCAAGACTTTGTCCTTCATTTATTCCTTAATGCATTACTAAAAGTGCTTCTGCTGTGGCGGCACTGCTGTTAACGGTCCTGCTGTTGCGGAGCTTGAAGAGCGTGTAGTCGAGTCGGTAATTCAGGGGAAGTGAGGTAGCAGCTGAGATGGCGTAGGTCGCACAGAGTGCTCCATTCACTCAACAAGTAACTTCTGAGAGAGCAAATAGGGGGACCTAGTCCTTGTAGGAGAGGTTCGGGGTATTCTTTCTGCAAGAGACGTCTGGTAAAATCTCTTTGAGGACCACCGTTTGGAGTTAGTCATGAAAGAAACGTTGTTGCGTACTTGTTTGGATATTTTTCCTCTAAGAACTCTATGATTATGAAAACCTTAAAAGCGTTACGTATAGTCCATGCAGAACTGTGTGGGACCAGTTCAGTTTAATACAGTGCTGGAGCAAGTTGGTAGCAACAGCAATGGGAAAGATCAGCTGAATGGAGGCAGAAACTGCACGGGTAGAATAATGTGACAGGCCGGGTTTGGTAGGGTATGCCTGTAATCCCAGCACACGGGAGGCTGAGGCAGAGAGATCCCTGCGCGTTTGAGGCCAGCCTGAACTACATAGCGAGACCCTGTCAATAATAATAATAATAACAGTAATGTGATATGATGATAGTAGTGTGGTTAGAGATGTACAGATTTCAACTGATTGCCTTGGAGGATTAGAGTATCATGAATGTTAGACAAAGAATGGGAAAAAGGTTTGAGAAAGATTTTTAAGTATATCATAGTTTTTAGATACAAACGAATTTTTTGGTAGGAGGCCCATTTGATACAGAGAGTGAAAAATGGAAAGTCAGTCTGAGGGGAGAGGTCTTGAATGTGGTTGTGGGTGTATTACATTTAAGGTGGTAATCACATGCTCTCAGTGAAAACAAACTCAGGTGGAAGATTAGGGCAAGTTTTATTTTAATGTTATGGATTCACGCGACTTTCCTATCATACAGGGTTTTTAAAAATTTATGAATTACTAAAGCAATCTTGGAAGCATTAGTTATATATGAGATTTATTTTCCTGATTGCCACCTGTTAAAATACCTTTACTAACAACTTTCAGATGTAAACTAAGAATTAGAATTTCTAGTATTTTGAGTGATACTATATTGAGGGTCCTGTATCCTGATTGAGGATACTAGTTGTGCAATTTGTTTTTTATTCTAGTTTTCAAGTGTCTTGTAGAACATCTGACATTTTCATAAGCATATTTTAGCATTTTGGGAAATTATTGTTTCTCTTTTATGTAACTGTTCTTAGCTAGACACTGTGGTTTGCTAGCTTTGAGGACTTGATATGTTTTTTAAGCCAGAGTCTGATGCAGGGATCAGACTGCATCAGAATCAACTGAGGTCTTAAAATGCAAATCTGTGAACCTCATTCCAAACTTACAACTAAAGATGTCAGGAATCTATATTTTAAAAACACTTAGATAATTCTTGTACCCTCTAGCAGTGCAGAACTATTAAACTGCTCTGAGCAGCATTTTCTTTCTTTATAAAATAGAAAATTAAAGCCTGCTCTGTAAAAATTAAATAACATAGCTTTGTCCAGCAATGTCAACATCTCAACATGGGAACTTGTTAGAAATGCAAATGTTCTAGTCTCTGCTTACAAGCTACTGCATGAGAATACTTTGGTGGGATAGAAGAATGTCCACCAAGTTACTTCCTGTGCATGTTAAAGTGAGATTCGTTGCTCTAGTGTATTAACTTCATAGAGGTACAGGACCATGAAATTCTTTTTACTAATGTAAAAAGTGCTGAGTATAGTGCCCAGCACAGGGTAGATATTTAGTGAATTGCTTTTTATACATTATTCTGCTTACTGAAAGTAACACATTCATTAATTTTTGAAGTTTTTCAATAGCAAATACTGTGAGGTTTCTAATCCCACAGAATAAAATTAGATATCTGGATTATGTAAAAGTAGGAAATATTTTGTGTGGGTCTGAAGTAAATGTGATCATTTATGTTCTTCTTAAATATATCTAATGAAGAAAGCAGAATGACAAATGTAGCCATTGAAAATTCTCTTTTCTGTTCTACTTTTGTGTAGCTTACTGTTAATTAACATTTATAGGAGGCCATAGATTTGTGTTAGGTGCCTGCACTGAACCCAACAGATCAAACTGATACAGAATTAATCCCATTAACTGAGCTTTGGTTGTTTGCAGGAGGCCTGAAGCCAGTGAACTAAGTAAACTATAAACAACTAAACTGTAGCCACTTGACCGACTGACTAAACTAAAGCCAATTAAATTGTTCTCTATGCTTCACTTCCATTTTTCTGTTAATGTTGTCTGATCACCTTTTTCATTGAAGTTCTCAGAACCTCTTGTTTTAGGAGCTGCTCAACTCACAAATTGGTTTGATTTTGTTCTGCTTTGCTAAAACTCTACTAAATTTAATTAATCTAAGGAATTTCCTTTTTAACCTTACAAATAGTGATTGGTTATATGGCATGTAACTCAAAAGAGAAAATTGATCAAATTAAAACAACACTCAGGAATTTTTGTAAGTAACCTTTCATCATTCATAGAAATTTCATTATTTTAATATTGTTCAGTTATGATATTTTAAAGAGATAGTATAACATGTTAAGTATAAGTCAGATTTGGGTTTGAGAATAGTAAATTATCATTTATTCATCATTTGTTTCCCAACCTTTCTATTATGTTGCACAAAAAGAAAATATACCTCCCAAAGGGCCAACTGATAAGAATCTCAGCACACCTAAACCCAACAGTACTCTAAGCTACCTGACCTTGGCTAAATTATTTTTTATATTTCCTTATCTGCAAAATGGTAGTAATACCTACCTTATGGAGTTGAGGTGGATGTGAAAAAATATACCTAAATTATGTTCACAGGCTAGGCACATAATATATGCTAATACATGGTAAATTGCTGCTGTTCTGGCTGTTAATAAAAGCAAAGACAAGTAGGGTTGAATTTTTAAAAATTTTAATGCAGAAGCAATTTTTTAGTTATTATGTTACTATTTTACATTCTATATTTTATCCTTTTTTTCTTCCAGAACAAAAAATATCCAAAGATATTTTGGTACCAGCAACATGATCAATAGGAAGAACGATGAGAAGTCTGGTCCAGCTGACAAGATTTCTAAAACACCTTCAAAGAACCAAGACATCGTAAAAGAGGATGGGAAAAAAGACATATTAGGCATTATTAAAGGCATGAAAGTTGAATTAAGCACAGTGTGTGCACAAACAACAAAGCCACCCAGCAGAAAACCACTTAGAAATGTTGGGGCAGTTGGCAAGCCCCTAAGAGCTCCAGAAGATGCTTCAGAGAAGCGGTAAATTTAATTGTGATTCAAGTGTTCTTTGAAACTAATTCTTGAGACCCCAGTAAGCTTTGTCTTGTAGTAAAAAATATTTTTAATTAGAGTACTTGAGAGATAGTGAATTAAAGAAGAAAAAATATTAGCTTATAAATACAGGGACTCTAATAATTACTTGAGGAATGCTGTTATTGTTTTATATTTGAATAATAAGAATATTTCTTACAATCCAAAGAGAGGAATAGTTATCTGAGGATTCAACACAGTCTCTTATATAAGTGTTATTAACTGCCTTTTAGTTTCCTTTTTAAGCTGTTAATTAACAGATGTATCAGATACATCTTGTTTTAAAGGTCACATCATATCTACAGAGTATTTGCTTGAAATTTTCCATTTAAAACTTCCTCCTAGGATAGAGTTTTAACATGTTGATTCAAACTGCCTTACCTGACTTCTTCTGACCAGAAATCATCAGTGTTTGCAGCTTTTTATGTGGTTTTCCGAGAATATTACTACTTGTGCTTATCAGGAGTACTGTATTTAATTGATTCTTAGTGATATCTTAACATTGTGTTACAGTTTAAATGGCAGTCTTATTTTAATGATTCATGAGATAAGGATTCTTTTTTTTTTTTTTGTACCAGGGAACAAACTCAGGACCTTGCACTTGCAATGCAGGAGGTGGAACCACTGAGCTAAAGCCCAAGCCCAAGAATTCATTTTATAGTGATTATGTCATTAAATGATGTGGTTTATGGCCTTAGGATACCTGTCACTCACTTCACTTAGCAGAACAAACAGATTCCTGTGTCCCAGAATGACTTAATATTTTTATGGAACTTCTCAGTTTCTAATTCTGTCTGAAGTACTGCTGGGCTGGTGGTGCACACCTATAATCTCTGCACTAGGAAGGCTGAAGCAGGAGGATCTTGACTCCAAGTTCAGTCTGGGCTACATAGCTGTCTTAAAATAAACAACACGAAACCAAAAAAAACACCTCTGGAAAGTCTAATTAAGTGTTAGGCAGTAAACTAGGTCAAAGAGCGAGTGCCCATAATAAGTGTCTTCTTCCTTTAGAAACAAAATAGTTACGTACAAGTACATAGGAATAAATGATACACATATATAAATACTCACCAAGAGACTTTTTAGTCTTAGGCAGGAGGATCACAAGTTCAAGCTAAGCCTGGGCAATTTAATGACTTAGCAATATCCTTTATAAACTAAAAAATAAAGGCCTGGGATATACCTCAGTGCAAAAGCCCTGCGTTCAATAACCAGAACTGGAAAACAAAAGGCTACTTTTTTTTAACTTCCAGATCTGTTTATTATAATTGTGCAATCTAACTATTATAGAGATGGCTAAACTGAGTTGAATGCTGTGGAAAGATTCAGTAAAGGTAATTTTTAATTGTTTTCCAATTAAGTATGAATGAGGCAGACAAAAAATAATTGTGCACTCAGTTTTGTAAGCCTTTAAGTTTTTGTTCTACGTTTCTACTTTAAAGAAATTGAAATTAGAAATACTAGTAGATACACTGGATGTAGAATTTATAAAAGAGGATGAGCACTTGTGTAGCATGCTGGAGGTCCTGGATTTGATCCTCAGTACCACAAATAATAAGAGAAAGTTTCAAAACATATTTTTTTATCAGTGGTTCTGCATTCGCTGATGAGGCATTAGCCCTTTATCAAAAGAGTGGTGAATGAGGTGCATTTGTTTTGAGTTTTATAAAAAGCTCCTTTAAAAGAACCCTCTCCCCTTAAAAGGAATGCCAGGTGCACAGAATTGGGTGAGTCATAATACTGCTTCATGATGCAGTCATCATTGCTCCATACATGACTTACCTTTATTGTTTTCTTTGTACTGTATATTGAAGCATACGAATACAGTTACCATGACTGCATTACAGATTACTCTTAATCAACAGCATAAAACAACCTCTTTTTTTTTGCCAGATGTGGTGGTACACACTGGTAATCTCAACACTTGGGAGGCTGAGGCCAGAGAATCACCAGGACTTTGAGGCCAGCCTGGGCTACATAGTGAATTCGAGGCCAGCCTGAATTACAGAGTAAGACCCCATCTCAAAAAACCCTCAAAACACATTTTTTTAATGTGCACAGATTCTGTGGGTTACCACTAAATGGAGTACAGCAGAGAGGATTAGTTGGTCCTTGTAAGACTGACAAGTCTCAGGGCTGGAATCGGGGTTTGCTGATTCCTAGGCCTGGCAATTGATGCTGACTTTCATCTGGACCGTAACTGAAGCTATTGGCAGTAACACCTCTGTGTAGGCTCTCTATTGGCCTTGGGTCAGCAGAAAGTGAACCAGAGGATTGTGGGGGGTTTTTATGACCTAGCCTTGGGATCAGACTGAATGAACATTGCCACCCTCATTTTGGTCCACATTCATTTTATTTGCAGGGTTTTTTTTTTTAACTCATAGGAACTGCTTAAAAAAATCTGATCTAAGCTGTCATAGAGAGGGACATAGCTATGTAATTTTAAAGCTGTGAACCATCCATGGACATTAGGTAGGGCTGATTCTAAGCTGGGATCTAGAATCATCTGAGGTCAATGACAGAAGCCTCCCCCATTTTAGTTAATTAGAACATTTCAAATTATAAATTGAGGCCCTCAAGGCTCTCACTATCAAGGAAACAGTTATTATAAAATGCAAAGCATGGTGGTGCATGTCTATAATCCCAGCACTCAGTAGGCTAAGGCAGAAAGATCTCTTGAGTTCAAGACTACCAACCAGGACTAGTGAGTTCAAGGCCAGCTTGAGCTATGTAGCAAGACCCTGTCTCAAAAAGCAAACAAAAAGCATGGTCCTAGAAATGAATACTCATCAACATTTTTTGCATTGCATACTCTGTTCAAATACATAAATTAAAATTTGAAAATGAAGTTAACAATTATCAATGAAAGAAATACACTAACTTGGGATGAGGCTTAAGCTTTATTCACGGATCAGTTTTGAAAGAAGCACATTTTCTTTCTTCATTTTTCTACTTCTGTTACTGTCAGAAGTATTGTCACTTCCGAATCTTGGTAAAGTCCTTAAAATCTTTCCAACAATTTCAGAAATTTGGGATCTTTAATTTACATGCTAGTTAGCAAATGATGTGGAAAACCAGGTAATAAGATATTAATTTGGATGCCACACATTAAGATGGAAGTTCTCAGTCAAAAAAAATACAGTAAATTATTTTTTCTATTAATTCAGGAGTACCCTCATTCATGATAGGCAAGTGCTCTACCACGGAGCTATGGCAAGAGTAGTAGCTTTTGAACTTTTTCTTATGGGAAATTTAAGACATGCAAAGTACACAAAATTATATGAACCCTTAAGTACTTGTCGCCCAGATTCAATAGTGATCAACCTTTTACCATTCTAGTGTTATCAATACTTTTTCTGTCTCCTGATTGATCATGATGATTTATGGCTTTTCTTTTCCAGGGAAAATTTACATATATTGAAATATACAAATCTTAAGTGTAGAATTTTGACAAATGGATACATGCAAGTAACAAAAACATTTACCAAGATATGGAGTGTTTCCCATTTTCATCTTCCAATCAGTGCCTTCTGTCCTGAGGCAACTACTGTTCTGACTTTTTTTGCAGTACCGGGGATTGAACTCAGGACCTTGTGCTTGCAAGGCAGGCACGTTGCCACTCAGCTAAATCCCCAGCTATTCTGACTTTTTCTCAACTCAGATTAGTTTTGCCTGTTTTGAACTTGGTATAAGTGGAATCATACAGTATTTACTCCTGTGTCCAGTTTTTCATTTGCCCTTCTGTCTGTGTGGCACATCTACCATGTTGGTACGAGCCACATACTATTCCATTGTGTGGGTATCACAACTTAGCCTTTTGTCTGATGTGGTCGACCTTTGGGTTGGGTCCAGTTTGGACTATTAGGAGTAAAGCTTCTATGACAGATTTGGCCACTTTTAAATTTGTTTGCAGTATATATGTTTTCTAAATAATGGCATCTGTTTTAAAAATATTAATTGTAATTTTTGAGGTTTGATTTATTATTGTACTTCAGCCAGTACTAATTAACTCAATTGAGCTTTAGTGTTTCAAAATTTATATAAAACCAGCATCTGATATTTGAAGATTCTTGCTTTTGTTGGAAATTGAAAAATATTTTTTGAGAGAGAGGGTGTGTGTACTGAGAATTAAACCTAGGGCCTCATGCATTCTAAGCAAGTGCTCCACCACTGAGCTGCATCCTTAGCTCTGAATGATAATTTTTTGAATGACAAGTTCTCTTCTCCAAGTCACTTAATTTTTCACCAAGCTGGTGGCATAATAAGCAATCTCTGTCCTTTCTCATTTCCTTTTTCAGAAATGAGCCCTTAAGCCCTGCATTGGTGGCAGCTGCATCTGCTGTTGCAGCTTCTCTCCCTTTTGACAAGCAGATGACCAAGTCGGAGCTGCTTACACGGCTGCAGCAGCATGAGCAATACTCAGTGTCACAGAAACAGGGAGAGAAAGCTAAAATCAGGTCAGTGGAACAGGTGATATCAGAACTACAGTACTTCAGTGCATGCTTACATATCTCAAACAGGCCATTTTCGTGTGTCTAGTGAATACACAAAACATCTATGTTATGTATAAAATACTATACTTCATAAATAGAATTCTAGTAATTGGATTTTTAAAAAAGCAAATATGTACTAATAAAAATAAAATTTAAGGGCTGGGGATTTAGCTCAGTGGTTCCGCCACCTGCTTCACAAGCGCAAGGACCTGAGTTCGGTCCCGGGCACCAAAAAAAACCAAAAATGCTTATATTAAGAAAGTCTTAAGAGAGATTGTAATTTTTTTAAAATAACAGTTGTGGGCCGGGCATTTAGCTCAGTGGTTCTGGCACCTGCCTCGCAAGTGCAAGGTCCCGAGCTTGATCCCTGGTTCCAAAATAAATAAATAAATTAATTAATTAACAGCTGAATGGTTAAATTTTTCTTCTAGGAAGTCAAAATTTGTACTCCTCAAAAAGGGTAAATTCACTGTTGTTTACATAAGTAAATAAATAATAAAATAGTTTCCTGAGAATTAATTTTCTTGGTTAAATCATATGCTGCTTTCTGCACAGTGTAATAATTTCAGACATGTTTCCTTCCCCTTCTTACGTTTGAGCCAAACTCTTTCTACGTATCCCTTTATCTTGTTCCTTTTTGCCAAGTTATACTACTGTTTGCCCAAAGCTCGTAAGTGGTGATATTGCTTCATTTTGGAAAGTAATTTAAATAAATCAGCTATTCTTAAGATGTGTAACAGAATTATATCAGGAAGCTAAAAGGAAAATACAGGTATCTAGACTCTGAGTCAACTCGTTCTGCTTGTATTTGAACAAATACAGCACATAAACACAGGTAAGTTTTTTTAACTTAGTTATTGATGTGATAGACATAGATAGTCACAGTATTTTCCTATCAACTTCTGAATATTAGTACTTTTAATTTAATTAATTTATTTAGATACCAGGGATCGAACTCAGGACCTTGCGCTTGAGAGGCAGACATGGTGCCACCGATCTAAATCCCTGGCCCACTGTATAGTTTTTAGGCTGTCCTTGAATTCATTAGATAGCCCAGCTGGCCTCAAACCTGCAGCAATCCTCCTGCTTCAGCCTCCCAAATTACTGGACATCTTTTAAAAGATAGAAATAAACATAAGTCTTGACCAAGTGTGGTGGTACACACCTGTAATTCCAGTACTTGGGAGGCCGAGGCAAGAGGATAGAAAGTTGGAGACCAGCGTAGACTGCATATCCCCCATCATCTCAAACTCTGTCTCAACACCCGCCCTCAAAACAGTATAAATCCTAAGGGTTTGTGGTATGTGAAAGTTAATATAGGGCATACTTTTTATTTAAACATAGCTTTATGCTGTATGAGTGCATAAAAGTGAAATAATTAAATGCTATGTCTCCTGTTTAAGAAAAGTTTATTGTTGTGTGGCTCAGATTTCTAATTTATTTGACCTTTTTATTATTTCAGTTTCAGCAACATTATATCAGATATGAAAGTTGCCAGATCTGCTAAAGCTAGAACATCAAGACCAGAGCATCAGATTCAGTTTGATGAAGGATTTGACAGTTCTCTTGGACGGGAGATAATAGCTGATCTTAAAAAAAGGTATTCAGGCTTTGCTGTCTATTGGGTTTTGTTTGTGTGGTTTGTTTTTATAATAACTGTAGATTACTTCTTTCCTTGTATATTTATTGCTAATAGGTATTGAGTGTTATGGATGGTTTTACATGTGTCTTCTTACTCTGTAGATATTTCCTAGAGAGAAAGATGTTGTAGGTTTAGCAGTCCTGTATTTTTCTACACCATAAATAAAACATAAACACCATAAATAAAAGACCCTGCCTCACATCTATCCCTACCAAACAGGGCCTCTGATTTAGAATGAGTGGAGCTGATTCAATTCTGAACGAACATTTTACAAGAAGCATTATTTTTCATTCTGGACATGTTTCTAACACTGAATATTTCTATACACTTTACATCTCTATATCTGGTCTTCCATCATACCTTAGATGAACCCAACATCAAAAAAGGAAAAAAGAGGCCAGGGATTTAGCTCAGTGGTTCTGCTGCCTGCCTCGCTAGTGCAAGGACCCAAGTTCAATCCCTGGTACCAAAAAAAAAAAAAAATCCATATACAATTGAAAGTTATTCTGTATTTACATAAAATTTCTGTTCTTTCTCTTCTTTAAACCCAGAAAGTGACAGTTGGGGAGAAGAAACTAGCTGTCTGGCATGCTCTGGCAAAAACTAACTTGGCTTTAATAGGATGACTTGTCTTTAATAACAGGATGTGCTCACAGTTGGAATGTTTTTGATGTGTTGTGTATTCCATGAATGTTGTTTTAAGTAGAATCTCAGGAACTTGATTTACCTCCTTCCTGGTATTAAATTACTGATTTTATAGGAAGATTGGAAAAGGTAGTCAGCATTTAACATAGTAAGTTCAAGAGGTTAACAATGACTTTGGATGACTATTGAATTATTAATTTGAGGTGATTTAGTATCTGTAATATATTAAAGTGTAGTTGGAGTTTTACTAGGAATACTTAACTGAATCAGTCTTCTTTCTGATTGCATGCAATTGCTTCTGAATAGTATATTATAACTAGATGGTTAGCTGCTGTTAAAAATTAGAAAACAACAAGGGAAAAGCTTAAAAAAATAAGAAAGGGGTTTCTGTGCGTACAGTATATTAAAAAGCCAAATAAAGGAGAAAACAGGGAAGCAGTGGGGAGAGAGCAAGTTGTTCACCCTGCTATGATGTGGGCAGGATTTGAGGTAGCCTGAGAAAACCCAGGCCTGTACTGATTCTTACCTTTAGAGGTGAGTCTGGGAGCTCTGGCTTTGGAGTCACACTGACCTGCTTCAGAGTCTTGGCACTGCTGACTAATTCTGTGACTGGGGCAAGTTTTATAGCCACCATCAATCTGTCTAACCATCTATAAAATGCTGAAAGTATTTCTTGAGAAATAGAAATGTGTCAGCTGTCTAATGTATAGTCTGTGCTAAGCAAATATTCATCCCCTTTTTAATGTGTTCCTCTTAAATTTTCATACTTTACCAAGGCATTCCTTCTTTACTATGAGTTACTTTTATATCTTATCCTGTTTAACTCTCATGCAGTTGAGGGGATCTTGGGTAGGGAAGGAACACGAGCCACTGATGATAGTTCTGAAGCATAAAGGCTTTTGTTTTACAAGTACCCTACATGGGAACCTAGCAGAGGAAAACTTAACAGAGCATGAGATAATTTCATCAAATTTGAATATACTGTTTGTACTTTTTCCAGTTAATTTCATTGAGAAAAGTAGTATGATCCAGAAAAGAAAAAATAGTTTAAAGCTAATTTAAAAATTAGTTTGAAAATTAATTCTCCAGTTTTAAAAATAGTTTTTAATCTGCTGGTATATGTGTTCAAGTAAGTATATAAATTGATGCATAGAGCAGTTGAATAAGATAAGTCATTTTTTAACTCTGACATTAATTTCAACAATTTATAAAGTTATGTGAAGAAAGTTAATCATTATTTTTAAACTGCAGAATGGTTGCTTTATAAAAGGATATTTTATATCAGTGGAGTTTTTTATAACTTTGTAATTAAAAGCATAGTGTTTTCTGCTATTAAAGACTAATGTTGACTTTAACCGCTTCTGTTTTAATCATTCTTTAGCTTTTTACAACATTGCTCCTAAAATTTTATGAGATCAAATTAAAATTATAACAAATCAAGCTAATTGCTTCAGTTAGATATTTTGAAAATTAAGCTGCTTTAACTGGCTTGTTGTATTGTGAAGGAGAGATTTTAAGTGCTGTTATCAGTCCTAAAAACAGCAATTTACTAAACATTTGGTGTGGGTACATGGAATTACTTTTAATTTCTATATGGAATATTTCATGTAAAAAGGGTTTTTTGTTTTTTTTTAATCATAAACAGTTTTTGTGGACAGTATATAAATATCTTACTAAAATGTGTTTTTTTCATTTTTAGTCTTAAGAAAGATTTATTCAAAGGGAAGAGACTTAATATTTTTGATATGGAGCAATTTACTGAAGAAGCACCTCAAACAGGTTTGTTAAGAAAAATTGCTATATCTCAAGTGGAGAAACATTCTGTCTTTCAAAGATTTTCTCAGTGTTTTGATTGCATGATAGTTGGGTATATTGATATTCTGTCTTGTCATTGGCTTGGATCCTGCTTATGAATGTAGTTGTTGATATAGCTAGCCTTGGTGAGGTTCCTCCCCTTAAAATGTCACATTTCTGGCCTGGGATTTAGCTCAGTGGTTCCGACGCCTGCCTTAAAAGCACAAGCTCCCGAGTTTGATCCCCGGTACCAAAAGAAAAAAAAAGGTCACATTTCTTGGGACTTTAAGGGGTCGGTATTCTTATCGGAATAATCCAGAGGGATAGACCACTACTAATTTGGGTTAGATCATAAATGATCACCTATCGCGTTCAGGAAAATACTGTGTTCTTCCACAAAAAGCTATAGTTCCTGCTTTTAGGCAACTATATCCAGAGTAGGAGGCAGCATTTGTACAAGTAACTTATTGGAGTTATATAGTGAATATTCAGGAGATGGGAAGAACACTCCAAACATATTTAGCAAAATTTTAGTGGTTTTTTTTTTACACATGGTTACTCTTTGTTTTTTGTTTTGTTTTGTGAGACAGGGTCTCACTATGTATTTCAGGCTGTCCTTGAACTTGGGGCAACCCTTCTGTCTCAGCCTCCCAAGTACTTGGATTACAGGTGTGTGTCACTACCCCTGGGCACAGTCATAGAATAATCTTTATTCTTGTTCTTTATCCTTTCCCTTGCTTTAAGCAAGATGTCACATCCTTCAGAGTCTCCATTTTAAGTCTCATCAAGAGACATGAGTACCGTATCCTCTTTCTGAACACTAAATTTGCTTTCCTAATAAATGAAGAAGCCAACACAAGTGGTTTCCAGCTTACAAACAATGCACATTTGTAAAGAATGGAGATTACCTTTTGAATCTTGGTAGAAATAATGTTGCTCATAAAATCAGTTCTCCTGGAGCCAGCCTGCCAGGCTCCGTTAGTCTTATAATCACCAACTAATATAAGCATCTGATTTTCCCACTATTCAATGAATTCCTTGATATTAGGCAGTAGGTCTCATTTATGTTTGTGTACCCTATAGCACCTACCCAAGAGACTTACAAATAATAGGAATTAGTTACCTTAGATCTTAAATCTTTTTTGAACAAACTGAGCCATAAAATATATATCCATAAAGGAAAGGTGTTAATTCAATTCAGTTTTGTTTATTGGAACTGAAGGCCAAGCTGAAAGAACAACAGCCTTCTTGAATTGTGAAAGCTGCATTCTGTTGTGTACAATGAAAAGGAAATGCACAACGCATGGGCCTAGAGAGGAAACCCATCTCTCTGCTCCCAGGTGAATCTGTTAAGCTTGCCTCAAAGAGGAATTTGTCAGGACAGCTGCTGTTTCCCACCTAATAAGCAGCCAGGGGGATTCTGGAATGAACTATCTTATTTTTAAATTGTAAGTCTTTTCCCTAAAGCTGAAACAAACTAGCATACTGACACTGAAGTTTCAGTATTTTATAAAACCAGTGTAAGAAGCTGGGCATAGCTGGGCAGAAGGATCACAAGTCTGAGTCATACCTGGGCAACTGAGTGAGACCATGTCTCAAAAAGAAAGAAATAAAGGACTTCCAGGAAGATGGTGGAGTGGGGAGTGGCAGAAAAAGAGCTTCTCCAAGATTGATGTCCTTATACTGGAATATAACAGCAAGAGGAGGAGGGAAGTGGGTCCCCAGCACCCAGGAAGGATCTGAGGCAAGAATCGAAGTCTACAGGGAGAGTGAAAAGAGAGACTTTAACAAAGAGTAGGAGTACTAAGCAGCGCTCTCTCCCAGAGTCTGGACTCTCAAAGATGGAATGGTGGGCCAAAACTGCAGACACACAGTAACTACGGATGACCCCAGAGCCCTCCATGGAGAAACACACCAGTGGAACAGAGCAGTGGACAACCCAGACTGCAGCAGCTAGTGAGTTAATCAAGTTCAGACCTCACCCAGGAGAGGGTGACTGGCTTGTAGCCATCTTGGAGAGGGCCCTACTAAGCTTGAAACTCAGAACAGTTGCAGGCAGACTCCATCTAGTGGCTTCCAGTGCCTCAGTACGGAGAACTCAGGGAGCAGAGTTCAAGCCAGCAGGAGACACATAGACTGTTGTAGGCTTGAAGAATCTGGTTCCAGCCTGATATCCAGAATCCAGCCTGAACTTCAGAGGAACTAAAGGGGCAGGCTGGCTGGGATTATTATCCACTACCCGACAGTGATCCTGCATCTAGCTTGCTGGGATCAATCACTTTGACTCTGGACTCTGTTGTCCACATTGCCTAACAGTGACAGCAGAGACACACCTTGAATTGGACGTTTTTTGGGTTATCTTTTTTCTTTCTGTTTTTCCTTCTTTCTAGTTCTTGTTTTGTGTTTTTTTGACTGTTTGAATACAGTTTCTAGTTTTTTGTTCTGTTCTGTTCTGTTCTTGATTTTATTATTTCCTTTTCTCTTTCCTGTCTTCTTTACCAGTTTCCTAAAGTTTGTCCTCAAGCCTTGCTTCTGATCTCTTCCTCTTCTTTTCTGTTTTTTACCCCCTAACCTTTTAAGTCTTCTCCCCTAAGGGTAAAAAAAGCCATATTAAGGGCTGCAATATGTCATTTCCTAGGCTGTGTTTGATGCTATTATTTTTGATTGTACGACATTAGCCAAGGTGACATAATTGTGCTAATCAGTTGTTCCTCCTGGTATACCAAGACTGAGATTGCCTAAGTGTTGTAAAAACTTACAGACCGGTGCCAAAAAACTGGCAGCTGGGCCAAATGGGTAGGAGCTTCTCATCCCCAGTATAAAGATGAGGTAGGATCCTACAACAGACTCAAAACGCAAAAGCTAGCTACACCTGGAAGATGCATCTGAAAAGTAGTCATTTCCTAAGGATTCTGAATATGGGCAATAAAGCTACTTGCCATAAGCAGTTTACAAGCATCAACTCAGGAATCAATCTTAAAAAAATAGAAAATGAGAAAACACTTAAACAAGATGCAACACCCACAGACTTTCAGCTCACCAAAGGCAAATCCCGGAGGCAATGAAGTGAAATAATCTGAAAGCCATCCACCTAGACTCTCTGAAGTTGTAACAAAGCAGATGAATGAGGCTCTAAAAAAAAAATCAGAGCAGAAATAATTTCCCAGATAACTATACAGAAGCTGACCAGAATGAAAAATATAGGTAAGAAAGTAGAGGAGCTCAGGAATGTGATGGAAGCCATGAAAACAGCATTGGAAAGAAATGGAATCCATGAAATAGATTCAAACAGATATCCAGATTAAAAACTCCATTGAGATCGTGGTGCATGCCTGTATTCCCAGCATTTGGGAGGCTGAGGCAGGAGGAAGTTCAAGGCCAGCCTGGGCTACATAGTGAGTTCAAAGTCAGCCTGAATTACATACCAAGACCTTGTCCAAAGGAGGAAAAAGAGAAAGAAAGAGAGAAAGGCTAGGCTATTGTTGTACAAATTATGATCAGAGACTTTTGTGGTCTCAGAACACGAGCAGTGTTAACTAATTACAACTTTTTTTCTGGTACAATGAACTTGAAATTATTTGAGTTCTATTTCATCAAAATTTATAGTAGTATATCAGACTCCTCAAGTGGCGGCACTTCAAATTGGGCTATGGAGGGCAGGTTGCCAGAGTGCGGGATTTAAGAAACTGAATTAAAAAGTAATGAATAGAAAATGTGGAGAGCAGCTCAGCCGGTCCCAGCACCTGGAAGGAAGCTCCTCCACTGCTATCCCAGGCTCCTAGGGCCAAGAAGGTGAGCCGGTCCCAGAACCCGGAAGGAACCTCCCCGTCTTCATCCCAGGCTCCTAGGGCTGTGAAGCTCAGCCAGTCCCAGCACCCAGAAGGAAGCTCCCCTGCCGCCATCCCTAACTCCTAGGACAGAGAAGCTGAGCTGGTCCCAGCACCCGAGAAGGAAGCTTCCTTGCTGCCACCCCAAGCTCCTAGGGCACAGAAGGTGAGCTGTGTGGGCGCCAGAAGCACCCCCCCCACCCCGTGGAAATGAGAAGACACATAAACAAGCCTCAAAAA